TGAAGATGACAGAAGTTCTGTCGAAACATGTTTTTTAAACTTAAAAAAGTGGTCGTTTTCCTTAAAATCTTTACATGTCTGCTGCTATCTAGACCTTTCAGTCTATCAGCGTTCAATTATTTATCTTGTTTGACAGGTACTGCCAGTTCATTATAAGCACACTTCAAACATTGTGTATGCAGCAAGTCTAAAACAGGGAACTGTGAGGGGTAGGGAGTGAACTTTCTTATAAGAAACAATTTCTGCTAGGTAATCAAACAACATGTAGGTGGGCAAAACTGTCCTTACAGCTGGTCAATTTGCCTGGTGCCCGGCTCTTAATGAAACTCCTGAGGGAGAAGGGGTGCAGGGCTGAGGAGTAGGAGCTGAGGGGTGAAGGGTGAGTTTTATTACCATTATTGAGAGCAAACCATAAACAAGCTGACTTGAGCAATTTACCCAGGCTAACAGGAAAGCTCTTCAGACTATAAAGAGAGCTATTTAAGCTCACTCCACCTCTCACCAATTACCCTTACCCCCATTTTAGACCTGATTTAGACTTGTCGCCATTGTTTATTTTTAACAAGTACTACTTTGAGAATACCAACTTGTAAACTGAACAGATACACTCAGATAACCAGTGCTAAGTAACAAAAAATTGTTTAATGGACCAGCTTTACAAACCCCTACCTACAATTTCCCTCTTGTAAAAATGCATCCCGTCCCCACAAACCTCTGTACATGTACATGGCTTCAGGTTCACCTGGCCCATTTAAACATCTACTTTTTCAATATTTTTAGTAGTTACAGTATCTGACTATTATTTCGTTGCTAACTTGAAGTAAATCATGCATCAGTCAATCAATCAATCAATACTTTATTTAACCACGTGACACCTAGGAGCGCAAGCGCTTGTTAAAACGTGTGCGTGAACTCAAAATTGTATGCAAAAAAAAATAGGATTATATAATCTATGTAGATATGTAACATAGCATTTTCTTTACAAGAAAACACCACAGGTATCTTTAAGAGGTCACCTATTTATATTTATTCCTGAACAGCGAAGAGGACTCACAGTGCTTTGTACACCGATTTATGATTAATCACTTCATCAACAGGTAGAGGATTACAAAATCCCGGCCCTGGAAGCTTGTCCATTTGAGAAGACATTTCCCTTAGATGAAAAGACGATAAAGAGTCCTTACAAAATGGTGTTTGTTGTAAACACAGAACTCAACATGGGTGTCGGCAAGGTAGCTGCCCAAGTGGGCCACGCAGCTGTAGGTCTCTACAAGATTTTGTCATCACAGTCACAAAAGTACGACCACATGCTTGCACAATGGGATGATTTTGGGTCAGTATTGCGGCAAACATGCTTAATGATGAAAAAAAAAAAACCCAAAAAACTGGTACATGTACACGTAGCAATAAAATGTAAATAGACATCCGTATTAAATATGGATGTCTATTTACATTTTATTGCTACATGTACATGTAAAATAAATATAGCAATAAATATAGTAGTTATATTTAATATCTCTGTTAATGTTGTGATCGTTTATTTCAAATTGTTTTCTTTCTTTTAGGGGAACAAAGATTGTACTAAAAGGTGACAACTCTGCCCACCTTTTTGATCTAGAAGACCTGGCTAGAAAGGCTCATATACCTCATTACCTGGTCCATGATGCTGGAAAGACACAGGTATACCTGGATGCCTTGGAAACTGCTATTGATTTTTTAATACAATCATATAATTCTGTTTGGTTCATGATGAGTCTTAGACTGAAGGCCTGGATATACAGTTTGTTGTATATATGTAGGTTCTGTATCTTATTAGGGAAAAAAAAAACGACTACATGTAAGTCTGTGTAATGGGCCTAGTGTACCGCACCTGTCAAATATAGCTGTATCCCAAATTTTGTACAAGGAAAGAGACCCTAGATGTACTTCTGTCAATTGATCTACTCCCTGCTGTGATGCTAGTCCATCACAGGGTAACCCTAGTTTACTTTGCAGCTGTTATTAGGGTCATCATGCAAAGCTTCTCCCCACTAACTGTTACTGGGGAGAAGCAATGCATGACGACCCTAATAACAGGTGCGAAGGAGACTAAGGGTAACCCCCGAGCTATAAATTTGTCAGTTTCCATAGAATGTGTGGTGGGTGGAAACAGGCACAGTGAGAGTTAATTGTCTTGTCCAGGCCAGGAAACGACAAGTCCTTGTCGGGAGAGGCACCTGGATTGGTCAGACCATTAGGCCATCGTGTCTGCCACAGAATCACTGTAGCTTATCAAGCTAGCAATTTACCCCTAATACGTAGTGGAGGCAGTGGCTGCATCCTTAGTGTGCTCGCCTCCAGATCTAGCACTCTGACTTTTCAAGCCCTGGTTTTTAAGTGAAAAAATACAAGTCAAGAAAATGGAAGTTCGCATAGGTTAGACTTTAACAGTTTTACCACAGGAGAGCAGTGTTTGTGGCATCACTGTTAGGTTCACATCTGGCCGATTTTGATGAAATTTCCATGTTAAAAGATGTGAAGATCTACATGTACTCATTCAGAGCATAAAATTGTGAACCCCCTACACACGAGATAGTTCGCCACCCGGAGTGTTTTGGAACTTTTTTTCTACAATAATTACCTATTGAAAGATGTGATAGAAAATAAGGTCCATGTGCACTTTTGGGACTTTAAAGGTTATGTTATATTTATGAGGATGAATAATATTTTTGACTTTTTTGGAGTTTTGCTTTGTCTCCTTTCTAAACATGGTTATTCAGAGCTATCACTTCCTTAGTGGTCGTTGATGCAATTTTTGGAATACACAGAACAATAGAAATCAAATGGAGAAGGCCTAGTAATTAAACTGGAAAAAAGGAGAATGTAGATTTAAAAGGGTTAAACAAACCATCATCGAGTTAGCAATTCTGTGTAATTGTTCAAGACATTCTTTTTAGTAACAAATTATACAACTTTTGTTCCTTTGCAGATAGCTGCAGGTTCATTGACTGTGATTGGTCTCTTTGGTTCAGCCTCAGAAGTGGGAACTCTAACAGGAACTTTATTGTTATTGTAAATCAAGTCACTCGCCCATACCAAGGCTACATATGAGGTTGATCTTCAAAGTTAATTTACAACATAGATAAACTTTGTTGGAACAATTACAGAGGAGTGTGATTTTAGCAGCATTTGTTTGATTATGATTAAAAAAAACATGTTCACAAAAATAACGATGTCTTTCATTCACCTTTGGTGTAAACACACCTTATTTTCTGTGCAAAGCACATTGTAACCCATGTTTCTTTCTATAGTAATTTACAAGCTTGTAAAACTTGTCAGTGTGTACTCTGAGTCAGATCATGACTTGAAGAAATGTATAGAACCTTTATAAAGATTTATCAGTCTCTAAGAACATCTTGTTTTAGTCCAACAAATAAAGTGGTCTCAAATGTGATTTCAGTGGTAGCAGTCAATCATTGTCATATACACATGCAGATTTGAACTGAACAGGTTTTCTCAATAGACCTCCCAGCCAGCAAGGTGTGAATGTGAACAAATAATCCTCCCAGTTGTGACTGAATGGATATTTCAACACATTCAACAAGGTTAATGTTAATCTCATGATCACCTCATTTTTCTGTTGTAATGCTCCACATTTCAATAACAAACAAAACGTCTTTAGTCACCTGCATCCAGTTTGCTGGCACCAATTTCCTTCTATTTACAGCTGTATCAACAAGCAGGGTCTAAAGTTGATTTATTGAGTATTTTATCTGTAATTATAGCAGAGCTCCAGCGCCCCGTCAAGTGGAGCCTCATACCATATAGAAAAGAAAAGGAAACCCATGAATTGATTTTCTCATGGTTATTATGGCTAGCAAGCGGTATTGCTCGTAGGCATGTGGACACGACGACAAAGGCAGGGACAGAGTCACGCAAGATAGCGGCCATACTCCAGCTAATAGGATGACAGAGACATACACCCTTGGTTTATAGCATACTTCTTTGATATGTATTCTGATAAAATAAGTTCAAAACACACACAAGCTGTACCAAACTATCTAACTGTAAGATACACAGACTTGAAGTCTTTAAAAATAACAAGTCAAGCTTAAAAACTTACATTATGATAATAAAATAAGAATTTCATGCCCCAGATGTGTACCGCTCTGGGTGCTGACACCTTAAGGCTATGAAATCTGTACAACAGTACTAAGTGCTCTACTTGTAGTCTTGAATAACAAGTCAAGATTAGAAACTTATATTATAATAAACACTTCATGCCTTTGCTGTGCACCACTCTGGATGCCGACAACTTAAGGATATGAAAACTGTACTACAGGACCACTCTACTTGTAGTCTTGAATAACGAGTCAAGATTAAACACTTATATTATAATAAACATTTTCATGCCTTTGCTGTGCACCACTCTGGGTGCCGACACCTTAAGGATATGAAAACTGTACAACAGGACCACTCTACGAGTAGTCTTGAATAATAAGTCAAGATAAAAAACTTATATTATAAGCATGTCATACTTTTGATGTGCACCACTCTGTGAAAACTGTACTACAGGAACACTCTACTTGTAGTTTTGAAAAACAAGTCAAGCTTAACTTGCATTACACTGAACATGTGCCCTAAATGTACACCACACTGGGTGTCAACATCTTGTCACATGAACACTCACATATAATATACAATTTTTGTAGAATATGTCAACCTAGCATACTTTAAGTTCATAATTACATTAAATGTGGCCTTGGTACAGCACACTGGCTGCCAACACTGGCAATAAAACACTACATAAAACTTCCCTATTCTACAATCTGAATAAAATGTGTTGGCTGCTTTCAAAATATGATTGATAATACATTGTATATGTCAATGTCCTTTCTTCTCTAAACGGTCATTGGTGTAATCATGCCACCTAAGATGCGACACTTACTAGTCATTTTATGACTCTGTAATCCTGAATAACACGAATCATGCCACCATAGGTTGGTTGCCATAAATCCCAGGGTAGTCAATCAATTGAAACTAATATTGTAGGGAAATGAAAGCCTGTAACATGGCTAAAACACATACAGGGTGGTAAAGTCCACGCTGTGTCTACTTTATGGGCTGAAAAATCTGTAACAGACTTGTTTCATTTGACATTTCTGACTTTTATCATGTAAAGGTGCCCAGGGACAATCATTGTTATTAAAAAGTAACATCTGTATAAATATGGATTGTCTAAACTGTACTGAAGGTCAAAGGGTCAAAAACAGGCTGAATTTTAGCATTATGGAGGGTCACTTGAGATTCTCTTTTTTTGGCTCCTTCGTTGTAACTTGACTGTGCATTGCTCGAAAATGAGGGTGAATTACTTGGATACTTAAATATGTGTAAATGTGAAATCCAAAAAAAAAAAAATTGAGATGGATGCATTTATATATTTGACCTGTGGCCCAGTTGCTTTTAAACCATACCTATGTTATGCAAAATGGTATTTTAGAACCTTTAGCTCCAAAATATGAGGTTTTGTGGGAAAAGTTAAGCATTGTATTTCTAGAAATATCTCTCTGAGTGCATTTGAAACCTATATTCTTGGTATTTAATGTTTTGGTTATATGCGTACATGTAAGAAAAAAAAAATCTACAGCACTTCAAAGTTGAGACCTACGTGGTCACCAAAATCCTGCAGCGTCCGTACCCCCATGTGATTTACAAGAAACACTTGACTAAATGTAAAATAACTATTTGTTTTTTGTTGTTGTTGGGTAATACCATAAAATCTCACTTTGAAGTTCTGGGCTTATATAACTTCATAAGGGTCTTGGGTGGGCTTATAAATGGTGGGGGGAAGCTTNGGGGGGGTCTTATAAGCATAGTAAAAAAAATGTTTCGGAACGACGAGATAAACGTGTCTGAGAAATGAATTAAGGCTAACATACCATTTCATGTGGAGTTTTAACCCTATTAACCTATTTGCCCACAATTTTCAATTAAAAATTTTGATGTTTGCAAAGAAATGCAAAAGGAACACACTTATATGTTAGATGGGCTTATATCT